ACGTCGTTGATGCTTACGACCGGGTACATCATGTGCCGAAGCGCCACCATGGCGTGCGACAGCGTCGCCAGGCGCTGGGCGACTCCACTAGAGTGGGGAGCGATGAGGTCAGTAGTTGAGCTCAGGCTCTGTCCAGTGGCTGCAGCAGCCAGCTCGTACGTATAAGCGGTGCTCGCAGCGGGAGCAGGAGGTGGAGAGACCTCGTAGTGTTAGGGACATGGTCCTGAAGGAAGCAGGTGCTTCGTGTTGTGCTGAACAAGGTTCAGGCACAAGCGTCTCGATAGACGCATAGTTGTTTTGAAACAACTTGCTCGATGAGCATGATCCAAATGTGGATGCGCTGTAACAGCGAAAGTGGTGTCCCGCACGGGGATCGAACCACTGGCCTTTGGCTTGACAGGCGGAGCTCTACCATTGAGCTACAAGGGCGATGCCCGTACGTCAGTCCGAGAACGGACTACTCATGGTATGAGAGGGCTGCGCCCGGGTGGATTTGAACCACCGACCTGTGGCTTTCAAAGCCAGCGCTCGACCACTGAGCTGAAAGGGCGTTGCCCTTAAGCTTGTCCATTCAAGGACAACAGTTCATGAAACGAGAGGGCTGTGCCCTGGCGGGTTCGAACCACCGACCTGTGGCTTCCAAAGCCAGCGCTCGACCACTGAGCTAAAAGCGGATTGCTCTTAAGCTTGTCCAAGCGTGAACAATCGTTCATGGAACGACAGGGCTGTGCCCTGGTGGGCTCGAACCACCGACCTGTGGCTCTCAAAGCCAACGCTCAACCATTGAGCTAAAAGGGTGTTGCCCTTAAGCTTGTCCAAGCGTGAACAATCGTTCATGGAACGAGAGGGCTGTGCCCTAGTGGGTTTGAACCACCGACCTATCGCTTGTGAAGCGAGTGTTCAACCGCTGAGCTGTTGTCGACGACTCGAATGAGTCAAGAGCATTGCTCTAAGCGGTTTGCAGCTCTTGGAGTAGGCGCGGAGCGCGAGCGTAGGTCTGAGACCGCTTGAGAGCAAGATGCGCGCTGCGCTTGGAGCATTGGGCCGTGGGACGACGACGAGAAGTTGGGCATCAGCGATGCGTAGGCGTTTGTGAGCTCACGGAGCTGTACAACGCTGGTGTGAGGTGTAGTAACCTCCGCCGTCTTAACAAGACGTGACCTCGCTGAGGAGCGTTTCGAGAACGGAATGTTCTCATCTTAGTGGGGGAGAGTGTAACGGGGTTACATGGTGTGGAGCACACAGGGGTACGAAGAACCCGGAGAGTTAACAAACTCTCAGTACATAGGTGGGAGAGTTAACAAGGTCTCTCAGTACGTTGGCTGAAAGCCACACGTTATGCATTTGATTAGGTTTAACTATGCTAGATAGTTAAAGAGATACATTTACCCTTAGGCTGCTTGGCCGCAATAATAGTAAATAAAACACTTCTGGTTTTGAAGCATAAAAGTTAAGGTGTTAACTTTGAGCCCTGGTCTTGGGCTGTAAGTGTCCTTTGGATAAGGAACTTAGTATTAGTGACTCTTTGAGTCGAACGTCTTCCTCTGACGCTAAATCTACGGCAGCCCCGCTGCACAAAGAGCTGGGAGCATACATTGCCTCTTGTTCAGGCTAACCTCAACCGGACCCCAGTGGAATCACTAGGCAATAAGGCGCCACTAACGACAAGCTGATGCACATGAATCTTAATGCAGTCGAAGAAGAGCTGGAAGCGCTGCGAGAGAGCCTTCACTCAATGCATGGAGAAGTGATAGATTGCAAGGAGCGCACGCGGCTTTATCAGCGGATGGCGAAACAGGGCAAGCTTGAGAACTTTAGTGTCGGTGACTACGTTTTATGGTCTCGCGTAGGTGAGCGCTTACGTGGCAACAAGTTGATGGTGCGCTGGGTGGGACCGTATCGATTAATCGAGGCTCGCGAATACTCTTTCATGATCGAGCATCTCATCACTGGCGAAACGTTTGAAGTGCACGGCTCAAGACTCAAGTTTTTCGATGACGCCGCCATGGACGTCACTGAGGAAATATTGGAGCATGTCGGCAAGCAAGGAATTGTCCTAGGCGTTGAGCAGATTTGCGAGCATCGGTACAATACTGTAACCAAACAGTGGTTTCCTGGAAAGGGCTGCAAGAGATCGAGGCCTCTTGGCAGCCATTTCCGAACATGGCTCGTGATGTACCCGTCCTGGTCGATCAATATATTGAGCAGCACCAAGCCGATGACCTACGGGAGAAGCTAACTCTCGTCTAAAGCCAATGCAGACGGCGAAGTTTGTTAAAGCGCGACAGATCCTGGAGAGGCAGTGTGGACTGTTCGTAGCCACCTTCCTGTCTCTGTCGCTTTGCATATCGATGAAGGCAAAGCCCAGCTTGATGCACAAGCTTCTAGAAGACAGGTTCTAAAAGCTGTAGGAATTCGTGAGCTTCTAGAAGACAAGTTCTAGAAGCTGTAGGAAATCGTGGCGAGCTGCCACGGGCCCAGTTTAAGCTCTGCTAAGACGACACAATTCATTTTGCTTTTCTTTTGTAAACTAGACCACAGTAGTAGAGAGTAATCGGGATCAGCGGTGCTCCTCTCGCGACGAGCGATGATGTCCTTGCACGTAGTGTCTTCGAGCTGGAATTCCTTCATGACATTACCGTCAATTGCAACTTCGTCTTCTTCGTTGCGTACACCTCATCTTCAGCTACCTGCTGGACAAAATCATATCGAAGTCTGGAGAACGCATCTGCAACTACATTTTGCGATCCAGGGCCATACTCCAATTTCAACCGGTACTCCTCGAGTAGTAACTTCCACCACTTAACCCGGAGAGAACTTTCGCCTAATTCTTGTGATCTGCGTGAATGACGATAGGGAATCATAGAAGTATCGTGTGATATTCCTTCAGTATTTCCACGACTGATAGGAGTTTCCATTTTATGGTTGAGTATTTCTGCTGCGTCTTGGTCATTGACCGCGAAAAACAGGCGAGAAAACGTTTGCTTTGTAGGATAATGCATCCAATCTGTTCGACCACTAGCATCTGCGAAGAGGTGAAAGGGCCAAGAATAATCTGGGAAAGCCAACCACACGCTGCGAGCAAGTGCAGCCTTGATAATGCAGAAGGCCTCAGCGTCTTCTGGGGTCCACGCGAACGGGATGTTCTTTGACGTCAGGCGGTTGAGTCTTGCTGTCAGTGCCGATTTATTGGGCAGCATTTCCCGATAATACGAGATTATCTTGAGAAAGCGACGAAGCTCGTTCTTGTTACAGGACTCGGCTATTTGCTGGATGACTTCAACTTTCTTTGCCTGGGGTTGAATACCGAAAGTCGTCAGCGAGAATCCCAGGTAGTTCACTTGTTCCCGGAGAATGTAGCACTTCTTGGCGTTCAAAGTCACATCGTACTGCCTCATGCGCTCGAAAACGATTAGTAAGTGCTCTAGATGATCCACGAGATGACCAGAATATCATCCAAGTCGATAATCACGAAAGTAAGATCTCCAAGAATACGCTCCATGCATGACGGATACTCATCAGGGGCTGTTGAAATACCCATAGGAAGGCGTTTAAACTGTTATTTGCCCCATGGCCGGCAAAAGGCCGCTATCGGTCTGCTCTAAGATGCCAAACGCCTAGCGAAATATCCCATATTGGCGTACAGAGTGCCCATGCACTTGGCTTCACCCAGCCGAAGCAAGATTTCACGTATTTTCGGGACGTAGTATGGCGAGCGGCGAAGAAACTTATTTAGTTGGTGAAAGTCAACTAACAGGCGCAACGATCCATTAGGTTTCAGTAAAAAGAAGGCTGGCGCGGCTGACTCCGATCAGTCTAGCACGTCAATCTCGAGGAGGCACCGGATCTCGCCCTTAACGCCTTCTTCTTGCCGTCTCGGTACACTATATGGTCTCGCGTGCACCGGTGCGTAATCTGCGCAAAGAGGTAGAATGTAGTCATTAAGTCGAATACGGTTAAGCCGTCCACTATACATATTGAAGTACTCTTCGAGCACCTTGAGATAGCAATGCTGCCAGGTTGCGTCTAGGGGATGTGGCAACATATCAGTTGGTTTGACGTCGCCAGCTTCTCCAGCAAGGGGCTCATCGTCATCTTCACTTCTTTCTTCACGTAACGAGCTTTATCTTTTGCGAGACGACTGCTGGTTGTGCGTACGATTAACTCGTTGCCATCTCACTACACACGACCTTCCCTGAATCAATTACCAGGCCCAACGCGGCCATCTAGTCGCGACCGATGGTCATATCATCTGGAAGAGAATGCAATACTTCGAACTTGTGTACTATCACTGCATCACGCTTCAACTGTGGGATGCGAAAACGCACCAAAATCGATCCTTCACATGGCGTATCACCTTTTACCAGTTTGAAAGAAACAGTTGAACTTTCGACCACGGAGCCCTACTGTAACAACAGCCACATGAAAGAGGAGCTGATAATACTTAGTGACGCTCCACTATCCAAAAGCGCTTAAACGCGCTCCTTTCCGGACTCCAGATTCACCTTGACTCTCATCGGTGGTGCGGCGTCCGTCGAGGGCGTTATCCCACCAACGAACCGGTATTCATCGCCGCTTGAGCTTCCAGCTCCTTGTTGGCGTTGCTCCACACGGGTTTGACGGTCACACTGTTGTTGAGCAGCCTTAGTGCCATGACGTTGTTCCACTTGCTGGTGCTCGTCTTGCTGGTCAGAGCGCGGCACTCCTGCGTGTTGTGACAGGTCGTCCTGTGAAAAGCGCAGTACTTATTACTGGTTGAAGCTGAAGAATTGTAGCTGCTGCAACCACGACCGAGGTTTCCACCTCGATGGTGTTGCTGAAGATTGTTGCTGTTGCCGTGGCGATGATTATTGTTAGTAGACCGACGTCCACTGTTACGACCTTGATGTGGATTGCCATTTCTTTTCGCGGGACCTCCGCTACGTTGAAGGCGTTGTTCGCCCTGCTCGATTCGTTCGAAGAACGGAACATGGGCAGCGACAGTAGAGTAGACGTGTCCGCTTGCAGCATACTTGTTTTGCCACTCATAGGGTAAGCCACGATTGTAGAGTTGGCCGAGTGCATCTTCGCACATGGGCGAGTTCTCTGAGAGTTGCGCCAGCGTGTGTTCCATGCGCACCAGCACGCGAAACCGCTTGCCGTATTCCAGTGACTCACTACGGGGTTTATGAATCTCCCATAGTTCTTCTTGAAGTTTCTCGCTATAGTCCACGGGTACTATTAAGGCCTTGTAATGGGCGCGGGTGAGCTTCTCGTCCATGTGCACGTCATCGTCGCTGAACGCCGCGTCCTCAAACGCCTCAAGAAGGTCTATTTCTAGTAAGATAGTGGCGTTCAGAAACTTGTCTTTAGCATTCCAGTACTTCAAATTTGCGAGTTGTTTGAAATGGTAGACGAATTCGAGAACATCTTTCGGGCCACCATCGATGGAATTGGGCATCTTCTTGGTTGCGACTTCTTTGGCTATGCCCTTTTCCTCGTTAGCCGGACGTGCTGTGATGGAGTACGTGAGATAGTGCTCATTGTCGTCTTTCTTCGTGGAGTCGCTCATGGTTGACAGGCCGACGGGTGAACCAGGTCGCTGATTTGATTATTTTCAGTGTCTTAACTACTTGGGTCCTTGAATGCAAATTGAGAACTTGTAGATTGAATGATTGGTTCATCCTGGCTTCTGCTAGCAATTTTCTCTCGATAGCTCACTACCCGTGTAGTGTCCTGGGTACTGATCCATCGCGTGTACCCAGAACCAACTGGACTCACCCTTGTGACAGCGGACAGGCGCTTGAAATGGCAGAATACGGCAGGGGTTGTCAAGGAGCCTTTAAGAAAGATTCCAGCCAAGCGGGGAGACAGCTCATCGGTAAGGTTGATATTTTGTGTTAATGGTTGAGATAGACAACTACCTTATGTTACATGACCTAAAGACACTCCTACCGCGCTGTCGATGTCGAGTGCAAAATGTCCAGCAAGTATCTTGTCCTACCAGATACTCCATCGTTATTGGTACAAAATGACCCACCAACTTGCTGGATAGTTCGATCATTGTCGTCTAGCATTTGATGATACACATATCTGATTACGTACCAAGGGCGAAAGCAAAGACATTTTGCGATAGAGCAGGAAAACTTAGTCAAAACGAATTTGAGGCGTGTACATTTAGCAATTGAAATAAGCGGCGTCAGATGTCGTTTTTTGTTGGAAAGCATACACAGCTTTCCATAGCTCACACTCCTTGTCGCGGAATGCCTATCACATTTAAGCGGTTCAATGGTGCTCTACATATAGCTACAGAGATCAGCGCGAGCAAGGCTTCACGAGGTTGACTCTACAAGTATTCAAATACCACGAAAATCGCTGACCGCGCAGTATTAAACCAGTCATAATTTGATACGGGATTAGCAAGTACGGGGCTTCCATATCCAAAGGATTTGAGAATGTCAAAGTGCTGCCCCCAATTAAGACAAAGCCGTGTTTCACGGAGAAGCTCTGGATTATACTATCGTGTGTAGGGCGGCTGTTTCACCATTGGTTTTACGTGTACCTTGTCAGTAAGGAGCTACACATACTCAAAGTGCCAGAAAAGGGTACTTTCTATTTGATCTGTACAAACTCTACAAGAATAAAAGCTCCCATGCGCTCCTTATTGCCGCACCTTACATCATACTCAACGTGCCTGTACTTGTCAATTTGCTCTATATAAGACTTACAAGGATATTAGTTCCATGCGCTCCTTATTGCCGCATTACTGTATACTACTACTGAGTACGTGATCACACTGTGTTAGTCGCACTGCGATCACAAGAGAGATATTAGCGGTAGCGTATGTCGTACGCATCTGCTGCACCTACTTCGCAGCCGCATCATCTGCGTGAAAGCTGAAGTCTGTTCGAACAACGCTCACGCGGATTAAATTACTTCGGCTAGTCGTAATTTACGGTGATATTACCTTGGCCGGTACAGTACAAGCAACAATCACCTGGTGACATCACTGGTACAGAGGATATTCAGTTTTACATTACATTTCTTCTTGATTAAAGTAACGATGATGTGTCTGATACAAGCTGAAATGACAGGCTATGTACGTTTAGAGAAGAATCCCACTACATTGGGTACGACAATCCAATGTAGATCTTATTTAACAGGCGTATCAGAAGTATTTTTTTTAAGTTAGTATGTTGAAAACGTTAGTTTGGGATTTGAGTATAAGAAGTTAGAGTAGTTTTGGGTCACAAAAACCCGCCTCTTAAAACTCTGGATATGAATTCAAAGAATATTTAACAATGCAAATAGGTTTATGATACCGGTAAGTAGTAGGTTGTGGGAGAAACACACATTCCCAAATATCATTCTTATGTTGGCGTTTTGGGACAGGCTTCTCCCAGGTCATACCGAAAAATTAAGAACAAGTCTAAGAGTAGGATATGGATGAATATCATTAATTCTCCGACCCTACTTAACTTTAGTAATTGTATTAATCACCAATCATCCATTTTCACCTGACTTGACAAAATAATTTGGCTAATCCAAATTTTAAGGGTTAGGCTGGGCTTTGTCGGAGCTGGCTCCGACATATCGGGTCGGAGGGGACTGGGTAAAGATTTCAAGATATCGCCATATCACATGCATAAAGAAATTTCTTCGACTTCTCCGACCAGCGCAATCATTACCACACATCATTTTTACATTCTAGACTAGATATAGTAAAAAAATAGTGCAGTACAGTGCGGGCGGTAATTATACTGTCTCTTAGACTTCTCATCATATTTTGACCAATAATCTAGCTAAGCAAACCCTGCTTGGACCAATTAAAAGTTATTTTCAAAACAAAGCGATTGGTGGTCGATTCACTCGAATCCGATGTGACTTCGATGCTTGATGGAGATAAATGTTTACTTTAAGTTTAACAAGTACGACAATAACTATACTACCACTGCTCAAATGCGATCCCTCCTAGCTATTGCGCAGTTGCAGCCTCTACCTAGTACGTTCGCTTCGCATCTTGGAGCTCTAGGACCTGGCATCAAATTCAGCAGCTTCCGGATGTACGTATCGGTAATTGCGGTCCAGAACCTCTTGATAGTTGCAATGAGAGATTCTCGAGTCTCAAACGGACGTTCATCCGCATATACAGCCCGTGCCAGCACGCACCCCATGTTCTCGACCGATTTTAGGTCTGGAGACTTTGCAGATCACTTCATGACCTCCATATTTTCTTCTTCTAAGAAGTTTTTGTGGCTCGGGATGAGTGCATAGATGCATTGTCTTGCTGGAAATCGCAGTATCACCCATATATTCAATTAATAAACGGCAGTAAATGCTATGATAGGGTTAGGACATAGTGCTCACTGCTCTGTGACCCCTCCAGAATCACTAGCTCACTCTTCCCACCAGCACAGAAAGATCTTCACATTCCTCCTCCACCTTGGCGACGAGAGTAAATTTGCATTTCGAACCTCAAATCGTGCCGGTAGTACTGTAGCGCATCAGGCCTATCTAACTTAAACACGACTTGATACCATTCCATAGCGTCCCATGTCACCTTCTCTCTAGCCCACTTAAGACGACTAGCCTTGTGTCTATTCGTGAGCCTACGCTTCTCGTACCTAAATTCAGGGTGCTTTTGAAGAGGCACTCAAATTCTATGAGCACTCAGGTCTAACCGAAGCTGTGTTTTAAGCTTTGAAGCGCTCAACTTGCCCTTCGAAGCCTCTCGGAAATGTTATCGCTTAGCTGAAGCAGAAGGTTAGAAAAATAGCTTCGACCGCAGTGAGCTAGCTCATTATTTCGAACAATACATGCAACTACCCTTGCGCGGAGATCCATTAAACTTATGCTACCTACCACATTAGATAGCATGTGTCAATTAAATCTACATGTATTGCATTATTAATACTCGGAATTTTAAATGCCCCCACGCTTGCCAGTATCCTGCTTCCCGCTACGCAGCTCCTACTCGCTCGTCGACCGCATGCCATTGATACCAGCCCACCACCGAAAAATGCCTGCCACCGCACGCACGCATGACAGCATATCGCCTCCACCACCAGCTCGGCAGCACATTTACCCCACACGCCACCATCTCACTGCGACCAGCTCACCGCCAGCAACCGCCTGCTGCCTGTATACCGCCACCACCAACTCATCACCACCAACTCAGTTGACCACCACGATCTCGCTGCCGCCTGTGCACCTGTAACGGGGTACGTAGCCCTAAGTGTACCCTGGTTACATGAAGTGTGACACTTCACACTTCAGGTGTATGACACGTCATACTTCGGGATATTTGGCACAAAGTACCAAGGTCGTTCAAAGCCAACCATTGGTTAACGACATTGTATTTCTATAGGTGACTTATAGTTTGTATTAAACCCAAGATTTATCTACCTATTAATATACTCAGTTTACATTCTACCTTGATTTAGTCACTTCGCTCTCTTTTAACTAAATAGGGGACCTGTGAAGTGCCGTTCACTGAGAGTTTGTATACTCTCGGAAGATTACTTCCTCTAGCGCAAGGTGCTGTGTGACCCCGTCACACTTGGTAGCGCTTGTTGGTCAATCCACGCCACCGCGGGTAGACTGCCTGAACCTCTCCGAAGCTCGTTGCCATGGATAGGAACGACTTTTCCTATATGAACGACTCTCACTTCGAGTCGGTTCGGAAGATGGCAGGCATCTTCGGGATGGAGGCCCTGCAGAGCCTGGTGGTGTCAGCACCGGCTGAGCAGCTCGAGCGCGTCAATGCGTTCGACGCGTACGAGCAGGCTCATCGCGCATGTGCGGGAGAGCCTGCAGGCTCCGGCGGCGGAAGCAAATCCGCCTCACCCGAAGCCAAAACAGCTGAAGGTTAAGCCGTATGAAGGGGAAGAAGGCGAGAACCTTCACTTCTGGGTCCGAGAAGTAGAGCTCGCGATGGACGCGGCTCTGATCTCGACCGAGCAACTTCATGTTGCTTTTGCACTATCCAACCATAGCGACCGTGCTAAGCGTTGGGTGTACACACGGGAAGCAACATCCCCTGGATGTTTCACATTCTGAGCTCAGCTGTATGAACAGCTCCGAGCCGCGTTCCTCCCGGCGAACTACGAGTACTGCCAGCGCTCGCGCTTCCTCTCGTGTAAACAAGGGAGACGTGAGCTGCACGAGTACGTGCAAGAGATGCGGGAGGTCACGGCGTCCCTAGTGGGAACCCTACTCAACGAACACATCAAGATGACTGTGTTCACGGACGACCTTCGAGTGGGCCCCGCACGCACTCAGCTGTTCCGGCTGCAGTCAAGCACCCTTGAAGAGGCGATTCAAGTGGCTCTTCAAGAAGAGTACAGCCATCGCCAGGCGCGTACGCCGGCCTCAGCGTGGCCTGGGAGTTCCTTGTCGGCTCCCGGTCGAACAAGTCCCAACGGACCAGTTCCCATGGAACTCGGGTCCGCCGAACAGCGT